TTTGCTCTCTGGAATATTATATTCCATGCCCTCTGGTCCCTGAATGTAGAAGCTGCTAAATCTTGTGTCATCCTGATTATGTTTCCACAATACTTGAATTGTGTCTTGCTGGCTGCTTGTAGTATTTTTTCCTTGACCTGGGAACTCTGGAATTTGGCTACAATATTGCTAGGAGTTTTCCTTTGGGGATCTCTTTCAGGAGGAGATCAGTGGATTCTTCCAATTTTTATTTAGCCCTCTGGTATTAAAATATCAAGGCAGTTTTCCTTGATAATTTCTTGAAAGATGTCTAGACTCTTTTTTTTGATCATAGCTTTCAGATAGTCCAATAATTTTTAAATTCTCTCTCCTGGATCTATTTTCCAGGTTAGTTGTTTTTCCAATGAGTTATTTCACATTACTTTCCAATTTTTCATTCTTTTGGATTTGTTTTACAGTGTCTTGATTTCTCATAAAGTCACTATCTTCCAATTACACTATTCTAATTTTTAAGGAAGTATTTTCTTCAGTAAGCTTTTGGACTTCCTTTTCCATCTGGTCAATTTTGCTTTAAGGACATTCTCCTCATTGGCTTTTTGCACCTCTTTTGCCATTTGGGTTAGGCTATTTTTTGGGTCTCCTTTAGCAAGCTGTTGACTTCTTTTTCATGATTTTCTTTCGTCACTCTCATTTCTCTTCCCAGTTTTTCCTCTACCTCTTACTTGCTTCTCAAAATCCTTTTTTGAGCTCTTCCAAGGCCTGGAACTGAGTCATATTTTTGTTGGAGACTTTGGATGTAGAAGCTTTGACTTTGTTGTCTTCTTCTGGTTGTATGTTTTGATCTTCTTTGTTAACAGAAAAAGATTCTATGGTCTGACACTTCTTACGAGGTTTGCTCATGATCCCAGCTAATTATTTGAGTTATAAACTCTTTATTAAAATAGAGGTTAGCTTCCAATGTAGAGAATGTATTGTCCCAAGCTTTGGGGGCTTGTGTAGCTGTTTTCAGAGTTACTTCTAAGGACCTGTTAATTTCCAGTTCTTCCAAGGTGGTGTGATAAGGGGAGAGGTGTTTACTCCTTTCCTGGCCTGTGGTCAGGTCTTTAAGTGACCATAAGCACTCTTTTCTGTCTTGGAACTGTGAGGAGGAGTTCCTCTCCATAGCCACTACAAGCTCCAACCAAGCCAGCACTCCTACTTGCCCCAGGACTGCCACCCAGAACTGTGACCCATATGCAAGCATGGGCAAAGCAAGAGAATTCTGCACCAGCAGAGAGACCCCTGCAATCTCCCTCTGATCAGCCACTCAATTCCCTCTCAGTCTGTGGGCCAGCTCAGGAGGCAGCCACTGCCCCTGAAACCACACTCGGAAACTGAGGCTGAAACCTAGCTTCTCTCTCACGACGGCAGAAACAGACTTTTCCCACCGACCTTTTGTCTTGGGTGTTTGTGGTTCAGAAGTCTGGAAACTGCCACAGCTGCAGAATAAAAGCTGGATCTGGAATCTTGATCACCCGAGTTAAAATCTAGACTTTGACACTTATCAGTTGTGTGACCTTGGGCAGGTCACTTATCCTGTTTTCCTCAATTTCCTCACCTATAAAATTAAGATAATAATAGCATCTACCTAGCAGGGGCATTTTGAGGACCAAATTGAGATATTTTAAGGCACTTTGCAAACCTTAAAGCGCTATGTAAATGCTAGATATTAATGCTGTCCCAACTGAGCTATCTGGAGTCTAGAAGGAAAGTCTAGTTCTTGTAAAGTAGGTGAATCAATGACTTATGGGACTTGGTGTAGCTGTGTGAATTTAAGTCTTTTGCTTTAACCTCTCTGGGCATGTTTTTCCTATCAATGGTGGTTGGATTGACTAATCTTTAAGGCCACCTTTGATTCTCTTTCGGAGGGCTATAGTTTTACTAGTCTATGCTTAGTTTATCTTTTAAAAAAATTAATCCATTTTCTCATTCTGCCCCTAATTACCCTCCCCCCCTTTAATACAGGGGATTAGTTCATAGAGAAAAACTGAAGCATAAAGGAAACACATTTTCTGAGACAATACATCAGAACAGTATGAATGAGAGATTTTGCAGTAAATGGCTGCAGAGTTTTAGGTCTGTCCCTTCAAATGGCTTGTAGGCTATCTCTGTAGTAATGGAGAGTTACAACCACAGCCAGGGGGGTGAGTGTGTATGCATCTGTAGGTGTGCAGGGGAGGAGGATGACAATACCCAAAAGGAAGAGTGTGGGTTGGAAGGGTGTGTGGGAAGGGGGTTGTGGCCAAGTGTTGAGCAGTGACAGCTGGGTAGGGGCACTGAATGGAGAGTAAAGGGGGAGGGCAGCTGGCACAGCTTCCTACCCTATTCTTTCAAGCTCACATTATAGTTCTTTTAAAATGCTCCTCCCTTCTTCCCCTCCCTTTCAATAAAAAAGATGTGGTGGGGAGCAAGAACTGAAGAGAGCTAGGAGCAGTGAATAGGTGAGGTGTTAAGGTCAGAGTAGGAATCTTTTCATGTTGGAAGGCCTCAGTAATTTAGCTGTAATGAAGTTAAGGCCACATTCAAGAAACTTCAATTAGTTATGCTTAAAAATGTACATTACTTCGTAAAAAATCTAACTACTATGTACTTTATCATTTCAAAAAATTAAAACTATTTAATTTTAAAGTTAACTAACCTTTTAATAATTTTGTTGTGTTTACTTTTGTTAGAAAGCATTTGAGTATTTGGTTGTAGCACGGGGGTCTGCGGTTTGAGTCCATCCTCTAGATGGGCATCAGTCATTTGTAACCTTAAGGGTGTCTTGAATTTGGGATTAGGTAGGAAAATGTAGATTTGCCACAGTAAGTGGTTGAAAAGCAAGAAAGCATTTTCTGGGCATGTTGCTGAAGGCATGGGTATCCTACTGCATTTTTCCATATTTCAGTTGGATCTTTGTTACCATCAAACAATGGCTTTAAAATGTCATCTACTAAGAGCTCAATCAATTCTATCTATGGTTCTTTCGATGCCTTGGTGATAACAACTGGGTGAGGCTGAAATTTGAGTGTGATGTCATGATTCTCAGTCAGGGAACCTTTCATTGTGTTCTCCAATGAACAGGTCTGTAACAGTTGCATATTCTTTAAATAATTCACATACATCAACCTGCTCACCAATGACCTTTGCTAACTGGGGAAAATGTTCATCTGAAATTTCCTCTTGAAGAAGTGTTTTGAAAACAAGATTGCTTTCCTTGAAATTCTTGGATTTTTGACCACATATCACATATAGATTTAGTTTTACCTCACAAAGAAATATTCAGGTCATTTTGCTTTGACAGATCCTCACACAGTAATGCAGCATTCATACTGAAATCTTTTAATAGTTTACATCACTGATTCTGTTCTTCATAAAATTTAACTGTGTTCACAGAGATAAATTTTAGCTAACACCTGTCCCTCAGATAGCCAATGCATTTTGGAAAAAACCCACCATGACTACCTCATTTTTCAACTTTGGCACGTCACAAAACTGATGATACCATGTTGAATTTGCATGAATATAGTTAACAATACTTTTAAGTTGTTGCAAACTGTCACTTAAAATAGCTTTAGCACAGAGTTTGCTGATACAAGATACAATGAAAAGAAATGGGAGCATCTGGATCTGTTAATGCTTTTTTTTTTTAATCTGTACAATAAACCCTTCATGTTTTTCTGTCATGGAAAGTACATCATCTATACATACACTCACTAAAGTTGCCAAATTCAGTCCAATTTCACGACATTTACCTTCAAAGCTGAAGGTATCTATTCCCCGTGTTCTGTTTGAAAGAGTGCCCAAAGTAACTCTCCATAGCAAAGAGCTTGTTATCTTAATGAAGCAGAAAAACCTGTCAAATCAGTAGTACGAGATGATTCACCCAAAGTGACTGAATATATATTTTCCTTTCAAAGCATTACATGAAGCTGTTCTATTAATTTGAAGGCTAATTCGTGCTGCCAATCGGTTATGGAGCTCCTTGAAAGAGGCAGTTGTTTGTACTTTGAAATGTTATTGGGGGGGGGAGGTTAAGGGGGAAGCATAGTAGTCCAAGCATCCTACAATTTCGAAAAATACATTCTTTCACAATTTCTATGTCACCGAACGGCTTCCCTTCCCTGCCCCCCCCCCCAGTATATAAGTTATTTTATAAGTTGCTTCAGTGGCATTATTTTCAGGTCTTATTGCTGCTTGAAAGACTTGCCTTTGCTTTTCTTCCTTGCAACACAACCTTTTATGCCTCTCCCTCTAGTTTAAAATATTTGTGGTCCTTATGAGTGTCATAATGCTGTTAAGTATTGAATTTTTTAAATGATATTGCAGCATCACAAAGCAGCAAATCATCTTATCTTTAGCAGAAACACAGTAATATTGCAATTCCCAATCCTCACTTAAAAAAAAAGTTTCCTTCCTTCAGCATTCTCTTGGTCTTCTTTGACATGATGGGCTGTTCAGACAGAATTAAAAAATACTTTTGAACTGTGCAACTATTCACACTGCTTCAAACAAAAACAAAGTGCACCACTGTTAAAAGCTGATAACAGTCTGGTGTACTCAGACATCCCCCCACCCCAAACCTTGCCAACCAACCTTGTAAGGTAGTGGAGCCAGTTAGACAGGTGAAGTTAGAAATAAATCATGAGTGTAGTAGGCGTCAATTTAGCCCTTCTGGCTTACTAGTGTTCTAACTGTGCCGTTCAATCTGGGACGATTATTTTGTTTAAATTTATTTTAAATACATTCATTTAAAAACTAAAATAAAAAAGACAAACCAAAATGTATTAATAAAAATGAAAGGATTTGTTCTGTAAAATTTGGATTCAGTGAAAAGTTGCACTTAAGGACCTAGAAGGGCACATGTGGCCTTAAGGCCAAAGGTCCCCCACCCCTGGCCTAGTTTCAGGTTTAAGTATCAAGAACACCAGAGACTTCAGTACTATAGATTACAAGAGGCAACAGTTATTAGCTGTCATTCTATGGTAAGAAGCAATCCTTACTTTCTTCACTGGAGGTGTCTTTTCTTCAATTTCTTCACCTTCAAAGTCATCACTGTCATCATCACTACAAACATAGATAGTGTGTATTATACCAATCAAATTATGTGTACTTACAAATAGCCCCTGCCATTTTTGCTACCTTTAGAAAGAAATCAGCATTAAAAACAAGGTACCCACCCTGAATCACTGATTTTTAACTCACTGTTCTAAAAACTGGAGTCAAAGCTCATCATTTTGAATCCCCTTTTCAACAATCAAAGGCCAAGTATGGTTTATAAGTACAGTTTTTGGCTGTTAACAGGGTTCTGAAAGTTTACTTACAATTTATAAAAATCCACTGCCAGTTTGCCACTCCTTTTTCTACCACTTTTGCCACACTAGCCTTTTTCGTTTTTCAGTCAAAATATTCTTTCTGGTTATTGAAACAGACCCATTATATGTAGTCACAGCTTTATAACTGATGTTCATTAATAAGGGTGTTTAAGACTGACCCTCTAGATTTGTTCTTGATGTCCTTCCTTATAATTGTAGCCTAGTCTGAGTGTCCTGTTTTGATATAACTGTCTTGTAAAAAGAGTAAACATATTAAGACAGAATTATGAAAATATCTACTCAACACAATGACTTAACATGATAAAAGTCTTCCAGTTTTGATGTTCTACATCAAGACTATCCCATTTGTTGCTAAATCATTAACTTCAATTCACAACTATGAAAAAAACCTCTGCAATCAGATCTTTTTCAGAGACTTCCTTGAAAAAAAAATTTTCGACTACACATGTAAATTTTGACTCTTAGAAAACAGAATGTCAAAATTAATAGAATTGCAATTACTACTGACATGTTAATATGATAAGGATCCCTATTAATCTTTATTATACAAGGTACCCCAAAAGTCTTAAGGCAGTTTTAAGGCTTAATAGCTTATTCAACAATTTCTTTCCACAAATATTCAGGGTATTTAACTCTGAGCTCATGAGAATGACAAAGCAGAACTGAGAAGAGTTCTACTTGAGTGCCCCAAAACACTACTTCCATGTGAAATAAAAACTATTCATCATCATCTTCTTCAGACAGTTTTGCCTTTTTCTTTAAAGAAATAAGGGATAGAAATAATTATCCTAACTGGCAAGTAACAGCTTACAAACATCAGAAAACATAAAGTTGCATTTATACCTATAGAACCTTGCTACCAATTCCAGGAGCAGATCGTTTGCCAGATGTATTTAAGAGTTTCATATCATTTTCTTCTTCATCATCTGATTCTGCATCTTCCTCCAGTGCTAAGAGAAAATTTTGTGTTAATCATGGCTAAATTTAAATTGTAAGTACTTTTTTGCTTTAAACTTGAGTGTTCAGGAGAGGAAAAAAACTGAACACATGACAATAATAAATGCCCTAAAACAATCCAGAGCCAGAATGTGTCCCAGGATCCAGATCCTAATTCTTTAATCATGTTGGTACAAATAAAAAGCAATATCTAAGAAACCTTAAGCTAAACTGATAAATTGAAGAGCTAATCTTTTAACTGGAAAGGAATCATAAGCAACGCTCACTAATGTATCACAATTGCAGCCATAAAAGATTGTCAAGTTTGCATCTAAAAATACCAACAAGATTTTAGAGAAGTCTTTCTGGCAACTAAATTAGCACCATTTTTAAGGAGCATGAAAGACTATATACCTACTAGGTGCTGGGCACTCACATGTACCGGCCCCGAACCACATTTCAACCGCAAAACTACTGGTGGTGTAATCTCAAAGCCACCTAGAGAAACCTGGGAGGGGGGAAAAAGCCAATCTATGACCAAATACTATAAATGGCAAATAACATGGAAGAATCAACACCTTTGTGAACATTTAAGGTATGTCAAACCCATATTAAGCCATGTTAGAAAAAAAAATTTAAAGCCATAAAAAACAAGCAGTATTTTTTCATGATTTTTTACCCTTTTCTTTCAAACTATTACTAGAGCTAATTGACCACAGACAAGTCTCTTGCATTTTCTGGGCCTCTCTGATAAAATAGTACTAACTGATGAAATTACATTTATATGCAAAGCACATATAAGCACAAGGACCTCTCACACTTCAACATATTGTGACATGATCGACCCTGGATTTTCAGTGGCAGCCATGAAAATGTGAAAACTGTCACAATCTGGAAAAGGCTTCAGGTATAGGCCTGATGATCAAATATCCAAAGACTAGGCTAGATGAATTTAAGAGGCTTATAACGCCACAAGACTGCACACCAAGTACTAATTGTTTTTGGCTATGTTAATTCATGAAGGACAAGCAAGTATTTATTAAGTATTATGTGCCATACACTGGTACTACAAAGACAAAAAAGAAACTATCTGTATACTTAAGAAACTTACATTTCACCAGGAGACTAACTGCACCTAAATGTAGAAAATGTTATCTAATATAAGATGAGGTAACAGCAGCTAGGAATGAAAAAAGGCTTCAACTGAGAGGTGGCATTTGACCAAGGAAATTAAGAATGCTATGAGGGCAAGGTGAGGAGGTACACTGAAGGTATGAAGAACAATTACTACAGAATGATGAAATACTGTATCTCAGAAATACTGAATTATGAGCAAGTATAATTCCTTACTTGGCTCTGTTTATCCACTAAAGCTATTAATTTAGCCTAAGTGAGCAGAACTGGGAATATACTACTTTCCCAACTAGTAATGGACTTGAAACTTGAATAATACAATACATTTGAGATGCAATTTGATTAAAATTTATTCATCATGTAAATTATATAGCGTATCAATTGGGAGATAATATGTAGTAAATACTTAGACTTAGGAATAATACTTATAATACGTACATGAGAAATAGAGTAGTGTCTTACTCAAAAGGTCTAAGTCCTAGGATGAAGTTCCACCTCTGACACATACTGGCTGAGTTAACCCTGGTCAAGTTACTTACCTTCTCAGTGCTCTAGGCAACTCAGAAAGACTACATTGCAAGAGAAGATGAGGACCTGCATTAGTAAACGGATAATTATACTTAGTCCATACCTAACTACTTCACAGGATGTAAAAGGTTTTTTTAAAAACATTACACAAATGGTCGGTTATCAATTTTGGCTTTAAAAAATGCATAAAGCAGAAATCCTAGAATATTAGTATAAACCTCTAGTGGGGACATGTGTTAAGAATGGCACCAAGCCCTAATCTTAACTGGATAGCAGAAGTGCAACTTATATCAGATTAGAATCAATGATTTACTACTTGAACATTTATCTCAAAATAATCAGAGAAAAAAAATTTTTTAAGGTCTTACTGTAGGCTGAACAGACATTTTCAAAGATGCCAGTGTTACTTTAATTGGATTGCCTTCATAGTTCAGTGCCTCTGCTTCAACAATATGCAACTCGTCCTTTGCACCAGCCCCTAAACTCACCTGTAAATGGAGAGAAGGAAAGCAACATTTTACTAATTCAATTTAAAAAGCTCCTAAATCAACTAGTTACTTGGTAAAAGAACAATGATCAATCAAAAAAATGCTACATGCATCATCATGGAAGTTTGTCACTTTTCTTAACTTACAAGCACTTGAGAAAATGAAAGCTACGTACACAGCACAAATCAGATCAACCATTATTTTCATTTTGAATACCCATGTACAAGATGTACTGCACTTAGGTAAGCTTATTCTTCACCTATATGAACAGAATGATAGTCATTCCTTAATTTTAACAGTAAGGCCATTAAAAGAGAGTGTTAAATTATTTCTATCCTGTTAAATGAGCAAAAGGATGCAAAAGATACATTAAAAAGTGAAAATTTACTTACAGTCCTCAATGACAATTGGTGCTCATTTTCATCATCTACCTTAAAATGATAATCTTTGCCAGCCTTTAATTCACAACCTGAAAAGGAGCAGAGCCATAGTTTTAACCAGATACCTCTTACTTAGCAAAAGACTGATTCCCCTAACATTTGAACAATATCATATCACTTAATCTGAGCCTCAGTTTCCTCACATGCAAAATAAGGGCTAATATTTGCTCTACCTTTACCTTAATGCTGAGTGAAACAATATCAGTTTATAAAAAGCTCAATGAATACAAGTCATGTTTTTAAATCTATAAAAAAGATTAAAAATCGAGCCATAACTTCAAACGGTGACTGAACAAATTTGTTCCTCTAATTTTCCCAAAATGGAATGTGGTATTTGTTTCAGAGGGAGGGAGATCCATTCTGTTGTACAAACAAGTTGCGGGTTAGGAGGGGCCCTGAACCCTTTTCATCCCTAGAGCTTTAGTATTTTTTCGACTCTATCAACGTTAAAAATCTGCCCAACTTGTTTCATCCAACCAAGAAGCATTTTCAATGTACGAGTGATGCCACAAAAACCCCTCCCCCCCAAAAGGTTATCTTATTGTTGAGACAGAGATAAAATGTGCCACAATGGAAATGCAGTTGAGTACAAAATGATTAAAATTCAGTAACACATGCCAAAGGAAGGGTTTACTAAACTATATGTATTAAATTAGAACACATACATCAAGCTACTAATCTCTACCCAAAAACTAAGCCACCAAAGCAAAACTCCTCAGTGCCATTTCAATCACAAATTGATAACGAGAGATTTTTGCATTTACAGTCCCTCCCCCTTAGGCCCTGTGGCGATCCTGCATTTCCCCAAGCCCCTAGGCACAACCAGGGCCTGGGGCCGCGGGGCCTGGTTGCTCCGGAGCTGCCTTCAGCCCTCAGCCCAAGGCCTCGAGTAGCACCTAGGTTTTCTGCACACGTGCCCCACCCCACCCCAGTAACCGGCCCAGCAACGGTGGCAACCAAGCAGGTCCCCGCAGAGATGCGGCTGCGCGGTTCCGCCGGTGGCCTTATTAGAGACAAGAGGAAGCCGAGCAGAACTAGCCCAGACGCAGTGCTGCCGCCGACCCCTCCCGGAGCCCCTCTTCACCCTCCGCTGCTCCACAGAAAACCAAATCCGGGCCTCTCGGTCGTCATCCCCTCCCCCACCGTCGCCAGGCCTGCAGCCTTCGCCTCCACGGCCCCCTCCGCATCCGTCACCAGCCATCCCACGCGTGGCGTCAAACCCCTTCTCCGACACCCGCCCGCTACGGCCAAGCTGCTCCCTGGCCGATGAGCCCACAGTCCGCATTTTAGGGGCAGGCTTCTAGACCTCAAGGCACATCTAGGCCCCAGGCTCGGGCTCCAACAACCTCCCCCCCCCAATAAGCTCAGGCTCGCGGCTGGCCGCCCCGCCCCCAACCCTGCAGCCGCCTCCAAATACACGGCCGTTACCGAAGAGGAAATTCTGGGGCCGGAGGGGGCTCATATCCATTTCCATTGAGTCTTCCATTTGAGCAGCGATACTGAGAGCAGAGCAGAGCAGTGAGGAGAGGAGAGAGGCTAGACGGACAGACAGAAGAGCTCCGGCTCCCCAGGGGTTCTGCTCAGTCCAGAATCGCACCTACACCTACGGTCCCTCACATCTCGCGAGGTCTGCCACCGAGAGCACGTGCACGGACTACCGGTCTCGCTCTCCGCGCGCGCGCTCTCGTCTGCCAGCCACAGAATGCGTTTGGTGCGCGCGATGACGCCTGCCTCCTCCTCGACGATCCCGCGCGCTCCCGACGTCAGCAGGAACGAGCTCTGTGCCGCCATGTCCTTGCCCCGATCACACGCTAGGACACACGGGCACGCGGCCGGCGGGCGCTCTAGACCCTGGCGAGCCCCCGGCATGGTGAAACCGGCTCTGTCGACCATGCGCAAAATGGCGGCGACGCCCCTCCCCATGCACTACTTCTGCACCCCACCTACTCGTCCCTCTTCCCCCGCATTTTAGTCTTCTTTTCGAAGAAATCAGCCGGGTGTTGGAGAATCCTGCTCCTTTCATCCTGCTGACCAGGGTCAGTTTGAGAAAGGCTTTCAGCTTTAGCCATCCATGGCCTCCTTCCTCCAGCCCCTGAGGCCTCGGAAAAATCAGGACCCCGGCATTTGGAGTCAGATGACCTGCCTTTGACTCCCGTGGGTGTCGCTACCTGTGTGACTTGGGGAAGTCGCTTGACCTCTCTGGGCCTAGAGTTCCCCATCTACAAAATGAGCATTAGATTCGATAACTTCTCTCCTTTCCAGTTCCAGATCTGCCATGAGGGAGCCGAAAGGGTCATTTGTTGTTGTTCAGTCTTGTCCGGCTCTTTGTGACCCCATAGACCCTGGCACACCAATACTGCCCTTGGGATTTTCTTGGCAGAGATCCTGGGGTGGTTTGCCATTTCCTTCTCAAGTGGATTAAGGCAAGCAGAGGGTTTACCCAAAGTCACACAGCTCCTAAGTGTCTGAGGTCAAGTTTGAACTCAGGTCTTCCTGACTCCAGGTCTATGGCTCTATCCAGTGAACCACCTAGTGGCCTCCTAAGGGACTTTAGAGGCAGCTAACTCCCTCCCATCCCTCATTTTACAGCTGAAAAGACAGACCCAGGAAAGAGCAATGATTATCCAATGTCATACAGGTATTAAGTGGCAGAATCCATATTTGAACCCCAAACCTCTGATTCTAAATCTGCTCTTTTAGGTCACACCAGGCTAAATCATATTAGTCATTTCCAAAAGCCAGTATTCCAAACAACTGATTTCATGATATCAATTTGGAATTTGAAGAGACTTTGTCATTGTTTAGTTTTTTCCAATTCTTCACAACCTCTTTTGGGATTTTCTTGGCAAAGATACTGGAGTGGTTTGTGATTTCCTTCTCTGGCTCATTTTACAGATGAGGAAACTGATTTGACGCCAGATTTGAACTCAGGAAGATGTTTTCCTCACTCTAGGCCCGGTGCTCTCTCCTCAGTGACACTTAGCTGCCCTGAAGGCATCTTAGAGGCCAGTTAGTCCAACTCATCTCAGAATCCGGAAAGAAACTAGCACCCAAAGAAGGGCGGTGTCTCACCCACAGCCACACAGGTAGCACACTCAGAATTTTAATTCATATTCTGTGATTCCATCAGGTAGAATCTGAACCTTTGTCTTCTGATTCCAGAACCAGTATACTTTTCATTGCACTAGACCATTTCTCCTCTGCCATAGCAGGCTGTGGCTTAGCAGAGAAGTGGGATTCATTGCATTGAATTATAATATCATAGTAAGAACTATGTGTCTTGAAAGCAAGTTGTTGCTTATGTTGGGTGAATCAATATAAACAGGTATGGCTGCCAGACAAATGAACAAAGCCAAGAAAAAAAATAGTAGGAAAATGGACAGGACCATATTTGGGAAATTATGCAGTGCTTTAGAGTATCCCACTACATCAAAAGAACATTATTTCTTTAACATCAATATTCTGGTGATGTTATGAGGCTCCATCATCATGGAGCTGTGAACTGATCCAACCATTCTGGAGAGCAATTTTGAACTATGCCCAAAGGGCTATAAAACTGTGTATACTGTTCGATGCAGCAATACCACTCACTGCTATGTCTATATCCTAAAGACAAAAAAAAAAGGAAAAGAATCTGTTTGTCCAAAAATATAACAGCTCTTTTTGTGGTGGCAAAGAATTGGAAATCAAGAGGATGTCCATTAATTGGGGAATGGTTAAACAAGCTGTGGTATAGAATTGTGATGGAATATCATTGTGCTATAAGAAATGACAAGCATGATGATTTCAGAAAAACCTGGAAAGACTTATGTGAACTGATGCAAAGTAAAGTGAACAGAACCAGGAGGACATTGTGTATAGTAACAGCAATATTGTGTGATGAAGAATTGTGAATGACTTAGCTATTTTCAGCAATACAATGATCCATGACAATCCCAAAGGACCAATGATGAAGCATACTAGCCACCTCCAGAAGAAGAACAGATAGTGATTGAATACGGACTGAAGCATGCTATTTTTCACTTTCTTTCATTTTTTTAATTCAAATCTTCTTGTACAAAGTGACTAATATGGAAATGTTTTGCATGATTGCACATTATAGAAAGAATCCACCGATCACCACCTGAAAGAGATCCCAAATTGACAACGCCAAGGAATATAATAGCAAAATTCCAAAATTACCAGATGAAAGAGAAGGTGCTGCAAGCAGCCAGAAAGAAAGAATTTAAATATCATGGAACCACAGTCAGGATTACACAGGACCTTGCAGCTTCTACATTAAAAGACCACAGGGCATGGAACATGATATTCCATAAGGCAAAGGAGCTTGGAATGCAGCCAAGGATCAATTACCCAGCAAAAATGAGCATCATTTTTCAAGGGAGGAGGTGGATATTCAACGAAATAGGAGACTTCCAAACTTTCCTGATAAAAAGACCAGAGCTCAACAAAGAATTTGGTCTTCAAGTACAGGACTCAAGAAGGACTTAAAAGGTAAATGGGACAGGATACAATATGTTGTTAATAAAGGGGGGGGCTGTTTAAACCCCTACAAGGGAACATGAGACTTGTAACCCTTGAGAACTGTATTGTTATTATACCTTGTTAAAGGAGTATGCATAAAGAGGGTGGATATTAGTTGACTTTGATGTAATGATGATTGAACATTATAACCTATATCTGATTGCCTGCTGCCTTGGCAGGGCGGGGAGGGAGAGAGGGAGGGAAAGATAGAATTTGGAACTCAAAACTTTAAAAAAATGTTAAAAATTGTTTTAACATGTGATTGAGGGAAAGATGTATATTAAAAATAAATTCTAAAAAAATCTGTATTAAAAAGAAGTTATTTTTCTAACTGTTTCATAATAAAGAAAATTTTATAGAGTATAAATCAGGCTCACAATTAACTAGACGGAAAAATTTCCTGTTTGCAAAGGAAATAGCACAATCAGGAAACTGAGTCAAGAGGCTCCTGCTTTTGCCTACTCGAGGTTACCCCTTCAACTTTTACCTGATACCAGACATCTACCTGTAATAGTTCTCATGCTACATTCCCTTTGGGAAGCACATGGCATTCCTCTTAAATGGAGGGCTGTTGGTTTCTTGACAATTCAGACAATCATACCTGAAATCAAAACTCGGAACCATAGCAAATTACAGTCCCATGAGATTTTACCTCAAATAACAAAATTTTACTAATTACAGCTTAGGGCTAATTTACTGTTATTTCTCTTATATATTAATATATAAAAGTTCCAAATTGTTCTTTAGAATGGTTGAACCAGGAAAAGGACCCACCTGTACAAAAATATTTATAGCAGCTCTTTTTGTGGTAGCAAAGAATTGGAAATTGAGAGGATGCCTATCAATTGGGGAATGGCTGAACAAGTTTTGGTATATGAATGTAATGGAATACTATTGTGCTATAAGAAATGATAAGCAGGTAGACTTCAGAAAAACCTGGAAAGACTTGTGTGATCTGATGCTGAGTGAAGTGTGTAGAACCAGGACAACGTTCTACACAGTAACTTTTCTGTACTGACTTTCTACCCTTGGAAAGAGATGGTAAAATGATGAGTCATATCTCGATGGTGACTGACTATTTCACTAGATATGAATAAACATTCCCAACCAGAAACCCCAAAGCATCTGCTATTACTGAAGTGTTATGGAAAAAAATATTTTTCAGTATATGGATTCCCTTCCAGGATCTGCTCTGACCAAGGTAGAAACTTTGAGAACAAGCTACTCAAAGAATTGTTGGCCTTGGCAGTTACCAAAAAGTCTAGGACTACTCCTTACCATTCTCAAGGAGACCCACAGCCTGAACATTTTAATCACATTAATCATATGTTAAACATGTTGGGAATTTTAAGACCAGAACAAAAAACTCAGTGGAATTTTTTGTATGCATGTATCATTTCTATTGTATACATACAATTCCACCATGAATGATATTACAGGCTTTACATCATACTTGCTCATATTTAGGTGAGAACTATGTCTAGCTATTGACTCGTGTCTTGATATCTCAAATGAAGGAGGTGATGCACTTATATTCAGTTCATCTCTCCATTAAAGGAGAGGTAGAAAGATGCCTACCAGCTAGCCACAGCTTCAGCCCAAAAGTGCTGTGAAAAGAGTAAAAGACATTATGATGCAAAAGCATGGTACCAAGACCATCAATAAGGAGAAGAGTTCTGTTGAGAAACATTGACATTCAAGGGACTCACAAATTAGCTGACGAACAGAAAGCTAACCCATACAAAGTTATTGAGAGGCTAGAAAACTTGCCTGTTTATAAAATGATCCCAGAGAATGGAGGGATACCTGCTAGGACTATCCACCACAACCACCTCTTGCCCATAGGAGAGTCAGTTTGATTTTCTAATGAGCACATGGAGATGACTGATGTATTCTTAGGCAAAGGTTGAGAAAAAGAGAATGTCCTCCACCTGTACAAAGACTCCCTGAGCCAGACGTGGGTGCTGAAAGTGATGCATCCAATGAAGAAAACTATGAGGATAGGAGACCTGGACCTAGAACTGACTCCTTTTCCATTTAAAACTGCTACAGAGACTATCTGAGTACAGATTTAACCCACAGAATATAAACATATAGATAGCC